TCTTCATTCCTTTCTTTTTTCTTTTCTTTTGTGCACTTCTGGCTTCCAGCTTTGAGATAGAAGATGGAAGATTGCCAACCCCACTTCAGGTTACTGAAGGAAAAGACTGGGAAGAAGCTGACATGAGAGGTGCTGGCAGTCTCCATCATGGCCCTGTCCCCAGCTTGCCACCCTAGAGACTTTGGGGAGCTTCCCCTTGGCTGAGATCCAGGACCCTACCTCTTAGTTCAGCTGAGTTACCTTGCTCCCAATGGGAGAGCTTATTATTCTCTGTTGTCTGGTATATGTTTTCCTACGTATACTTTTTCCGATTTCTGTTCTACTATCAAAGGGGATAAATAGGGCTCTTTGGTAACTGCTATGTATATTCATTATGGAACTGGAATTCAGTGGGAATGGAATCAAACTTTGCATGTAAATCTTGGGGTTCTGCTTCCCCATTAAGAAACAGTGATCAGAAGTTAGCTTGAACTTGAAAATCACATCTCCTAGACTATTTAAGGAAGCAGATAGATACAATTCTAGCCTGGTACTTCCTCTCTCTGAGGTGAGCAGAGTAGCTTTTAGCCCCAACCTCCTGCTTCCCCTTCTGGCAGGAATTAGTCTTTCCTGGAGCAAGGTCAGGGGAGGAAAGGCTAAAGATGTCTATTCTACCTCCTTCCAAGCCACACAAAGACACCGCTATGCTGCATGTTGGGGAAAGCCCTTGCACAGAAATAAAAGTTTCTGCCCTTACATTCTACTGGGAAGAATTCTACTTGTAGGACTTTCAATCAGTCAATCAACATTTATTAAGTGCCTACAGTGTGCCATGCACTATGCTTAGCACTGGGGATATAAAAAGAGGCAAAAGACAGTCCCTGCCCTCAAAGAACTTACAGTCTAATGGGGGAGACAAAATGCAAATATATATGTGTGTGTCTATATATATATATATACACATATATACATACACACAAGATGAGCTATAAAGGACAAATAGGAAATAATTAAAAGCGGGAAGGTAGTGGAATTAAAAGGTGTTGGGGAAGGCTTCTTGTAGAAGGTGGTATTTTAGCTGGGGCTTAAAGGAAGCCAGGGACTAGAGCAGCTAGAAAGGCCCTTAGAGGCCCATTTGACACAAACCCCTCATTTTACAGATGAAGAATTTGAGGCCCAGGGAAGCTAGGTGACTTGCCCACAGTCACACAGACAGTCAATGTTAGAGGCAGGATTTGAATACAAGTCTTGTGACTCCCCAGTCGGAGAAGGTGTCCTTAAACCAGTACCTTGCTACATGACCCGGAAAGGGTAGGTAAGAATTTGCCAGGCAGGGATGGGGGAGAAGACATCCCAGGAAAAAGAATGTCAGTTAAGGTAAGAAAGTAAGGGATTTGTACCAGGGATAGCAAATATTCCAATCTGGCTATAGGGGAGGGTAGTTGTGATGGTTGAAAAGTAGCTTAAGGTCATATGGTGCTCCCCATTCCCTCTTCCACCCTGTATTCCTTGCTCTTTGGGGTTTCTGGTGTGGGCAAATGGTTCAGGGAGACACCTGAGAGTCTAACCTCCTCTTCAGCTTTACCCTCATCACCCCCTACATCCCCACTACTCCTGGTTATGCCTTTTGGGGTCCTCTTCTATCGACAGCCTTATAAATGCTTGAAGAGATCTCTTCTATCTCACTCTCACCAGGCAAAGATAGGGAGCCCATCTTTAAATTAGAAGGAAACATAGAATGAGTTTCTCTCAGGTTGGGAAAGGATGGGCTTTTTTTCCCTACTCTTAGTGAATACTTATTTGACTGAATTGAATTTAAGGCTGGAAAAGACCTTAGAAATTGTCTATGAGGGGTTCTTAAGCAGGAGTTTGTGAATTTTTCATTTTCAATAACTGTATTTCAATATCTTTGGTTTCCTTTTGGAATCCTATGCATTTTATTTTATGCATTTGCCAACATTCTCCTGAGAAGGGAGCCATGCATTTCACCAGGCTGCCACAGGGGTCCATGATACAAAAAAAGAACTAAGAACTAAGAACTGCTGAGGTGTTCAACCTTTTTATGTTACAAATGAAGAAAATGGGTCCCACAAAGGTTAAACAATTCGTCTAAACAAGTATCAATGATTAAATCATCCCCTTCTTCTTTTGAAGTAAGGCCTGAAACCCATGAAATTCAGAATTCCTGTTTTGCTCTGCTTTGTAATAGGGCTTTGGGTAGAAGAACTGGGAAGGGATGGAGGGGGTGGGGAGTTCCTTTCCCAGGGAAGCCACCTGCTTGCCCTCCCTAGGTGCCCATAGGGCCTGATGCTTGAGGGCATCTGCCCACTCTCATGGACTCATAGAATCTTAGAAATAGAAGAAATTTCAGAAATTATCTATTCTAATTCTTTTGTATTATAGATAAGGAAACTGAGTTCCACACAGAAGAAGCGATGGGGGAGGGGAAGGGAACCAAAGTGAGCTCAGCCCTTGCTGGACACTCTGCAGTCCAGCCTGGCAGAGCTTGATGGAGTCATACCTAAGTGTCTGACCCTGGCGGGGCAGGGGGCCAAAGGCAGGTCCAGATGGGAAGGAGCAGCTGCAGGGGTAGAGGAAAAGGGAAGAAGCCAAGGGAGCTACAGTCTTGCAAGCTGCATCTGGCTCTCCCAGACCCCTTGGCAGACAGCCCTAGCTAGGGAGGGGTCAGTTGGGGACAAAAACGGCTGGTAAATATAGATGGGAGGAAAGGAAGCCAGGCAGCCACAGCTTTGTCCTGGGTTCTTTCTGCAGGAAGGGAGGGGAGGGTTGGTGCTGGGGGAAGGAGAGCTGAGTGTGGAGGACGTCGAACTGGTGACCCTGCTCCCTCACTCAAGAGAACGAGATGACCCACCATCTAGCTGCTCTTGAGAATTCTGGCTGCTAGCCAGAGCTATATAGACACATCTCCTGTGTAGAATCCACAGAGGCACGACACAGAATAGTGGAAAGAATCCTGGGCCAAGAGTCAAGAGGCAAGGGTTGGAGTCCCAGCTTAGACAGTGCCCTGCTGTGTAAACAACATCAAGCTGGCCATTTCCCTGGTTTGGATCTCGGTTTCCCTCTCTGTAAAATGGAAGAGATAGACTAGACTATGGGTCTTCAATGCCCTGCCTAGCTTTCCCATTCTATGAAACCTGGTTTAAGGAAAAGGAGGAGCCTGGTTAAAACGGGATTAGGGCGTTGAAGCTGGAGACACCGTGGTGTTAGTTACACCCTGGCTTCTTTCAGCTGGGTCCCATTTCCATCTCTGTTCTGGCTCCTTTCCTCACTCTCCCCAGTTTCAAGGGGGGCTGTCCTCAGACATGTGCTCTAGGCCTTCCCCAGCACTAGAAGCAGAGTCTGACCTCGGCACCAAAGTCCCATGTCTCAGGCAGCCAATGCTGCCTGCATTGACATCCATGCCCTAAGAACCTGGGGTGGGCATTCTTCAGAGGCAGTTAAAAATGGATTTATTGGCAAAAAAAATTTACAACCAAAGGGAGAGGATTTTATTTTTGATTGTTATTTTCTTTGAGTAATCCCCTCATCACCTTTTCCCAGCAGTAGCAGGGAAAGGGGGATGGGAAAGAGGAGGGCTCAGCTTCCAGGAATGGAAGCCAAATATATCATCATCATCCCCAGGTCACCATGTCTTTCTTCTGAGTCGCCCTTCCCCCCCAGTTACAGGTTCTTCTGACTCTTTTTATATTTTTGTTTTGTAAAAAAATAGATTTGTCCCTCCTCACTTCCTGGGGGAATTCCTACCGTCTCCTCACCCAATTTTTTGTCTTCCCAAAAGTTTGTGCTGAGGAGAATGAGGTAGGTCCCTGATTCCCCAGGTATTAAAGCTAAAATGTGATTAAGTCTCTACTTATAAAATACACAATAAATTACAAACCCTACCTCTCCTTTGCTATTCTTTCTCACCATCTATTCCTAGTCAAACTTTCTTTCTTCCCAAAGGCTAATTCTTTCCCCTCTCCTCCCTCCTACCCCCCATCCCCAACACACACACACGCGCACACACACACACACACTTAAATCCTATTGACTGAGGCTACTTGGAGGAGGCTCAGTTAACTTTTTGCTGGAGTGTGTGCAGGAAAGTGGTGAAATCATTCTAAATTCTTGCTCTGATCACTCCCTCCAACTCTCCCACCCCCAGATGTGGGGCAAAACCTTTTTAGCACCAAGTTCATCAGATGGGATGGACAACTAGGAAGTTTCCAGGTTGGTGGGAAAGGTTGCATAGGATTGGGAAAACAGGAGAGTAGGAAGGCCAAGATTCCCCCCTTACCCAACTCCTGTCTGGTCCCAAGCCACAGAGCAGCTGGTGGCAGATTGTTTAGATGCCCCACAGTGTATAATTGGAGCCTGGCAATTATAGTGGAGAGGGTTCTGGCCTGGTTCTTCCATTAACTAACTATAAGTACCTCTCTCTGGGCCTCAGTTTCCTCTAGAAAATTAGAGATTTGAATGAAATGCTGTCTAAGGTCCCTTCCAGTCTTAATTGTCCATGTTTTTATGATAGTATGAAGGTGTGAGAGGGTGTGTATCTGCATGGGTGTATGTGTGTGTGACAGTGATGGGGGTGTGTGTGTGTGTGTGTGTGTGTGTGTAAGAATGTGTGGCTAAAGGGACACAAATTGGGGAATCCCAGGACTAAGAGCTGGAAAGAATCTTAGAGGATATTTAGTCTAATTCCCTCATTTTACAGATGGGGAAACTGAGGGCCAGAGAGATCCCCTGATGCTCTTAATTCCTTGGGGCACAATATACAAGTAACAAAACAAAACAAACCTATAAATAATAGTTTTCCCTAGTGATTCCTCCTTACCCCCTCCCATATCTTCAGCTCCCCAGCCCTAGCAATGGGCAGTCATCCTGGACTCAAAGGGAACGCTTTGCCAGAATAGGTATGGACTTCCCTGATACTGGAGGCAATGAAGGAGGTGTCAATGTCCTGAGAGAGCAGGGGAGAATATTGGGGGCAATCTCAGATCCAGCTTCATCTTCCCGGCTCACACGGGCATGGGTACTTCGTCATACACATCTCTGCCTTCTTCATCAAAGGTGACCTCAGCATTGTCAGCATCAAGCTGGAGTCAAGGGAAGTGAGAGAGGGAAAAAAGGGTCTTGAGAGTGGATGGGTAACTGGGTCACAACCCTCCCTACCATCCTTTCAGTTACTGTTCTCAAATCCCCTCCCATCTAACCTCAGATTGTTAAGATAGCCCACAGTGTATAATACAGTCCAGCAATTATGGTGGAGAGAATTCTGGCCTGGTTCTTCCACCCAACCTCAGAAATAATAACTCACATGTCTACAGGACTTTGCAAAGTGTTTTCCTCACAATGACTCATTGAGGTAGGTAGTGAAAAAATTCTCATTTTCATTTTAGAGTGGTAACTGAGGTTCAGAAGGACGACTTATCCATGGTCACAGAATCCATAGTGCAAAGCTGGTAAATACTGGAAGTGGGATTTGAACCCACATGTCTTACTCTAAAACCAATATTCTCCAATAGGCTACGCTGCTCTGGGAAGGAAGGAGCCCAGAAATTCTTACTTTCCCAGTCCTCACCTCCCTGATACAAGTTTGATCTGACTCTTTTCTCCCATTCCTCTCCTTACCTCAGCTGGACCATAGAAGAAGTTTGAAGACTAGCCCTCATCCTAACCCACACCGTCCCACTTACGCATTGGAGTTCGAAGTTTCGAAAGATGAGGGGCAGCAGGAATTGGCGCAGGGGCACAGTGAGGATGAGGACAAAGGGCAGTGCCAGGGAGGCAGGCGTCGACTTTACCACCCACAGCAGCACCAGGCAGACGATTTGGATACAGGTGAACAGGTGCATACGCCAAGTCTTCACCTGGAAGGGTTTGAAGGGCAAGAGATCAGCCTAGTCAGGGCCCTGGAGACCTTCCCCCCAACACACTTGACACCTCCCCTCCCCGCCAACGGTCTTCCTTCCGCTTTCATACCCGTTTGACATATGGCACATCAGGGTGGTATTTGGGAGGCTTCAGGAGGAGCAGAGCTCGGTCAAAGAGCTGAATGCCACTCAGCGACGTGACTCCCATGTATAGGAAAATGCCAAAAAGAACAGCCAGGGGGATCTTTGACAGAATGGGTTCCATGAAGATGGATACACCTGAAGAGGGATGAAAGAATTGGAGAAGGGAGTTGCTGAGCAGGAGGACTGGGCAGATTTATGGATTTAGGGTGTTTGAATATGACATACCATGCTTCCACTGGCTATTCTCTGTGCCTGGAATGCCCTCTTTCTTGGCTTCCTCCTTTTACCTTCCCTGTTGTTATCATTCAGTCATTTTTCAGTTGTGTCTGACTCTTCGTGACCCCCTTTGGGGTTTTTTGGCATTTTACAGATGAGGAAATTGAGGCAAACAGGGTGAAGTGACTTGCCCAGGGTCACACAGCTGGTACATGTCTGAGGCCAGATTTGAACTCAGCAAGATGAGTCTTCCTGACTCTAGGCCTGACACTCTGAACCACCTAGCTTCCCTGCTCACCTTCAAGACAGTTTGGAGGCCACTTTTCCTGGAATGTCCAGCTACTAATGCTTTCTTTTCTGAACTTACCTTCCATCTACCCTGTAGACATCTTGTATATACCTAGATGTATCCCTCATTAGAATGTAAGCTTCTTGAAGATAGGCACAATTTTTATCTCTCTTTGTATCCCTAGTGCCTGGCACAATATATGTTTGTTGATTGACTGACTGACTGATTCTTCCTGGGTCTGGAGGAAGAAGAACGGCAACCAGGTACCCAAATCCCAGGTGGCATGAAGGCTGAGGCAGAGATCTATCTAATGTTTTTCCAGGCTAACCAGACAGAGTTGGGACTTGGAGGAAAAATAGGGGAGAAGAGAAAGAGGCTGGAGGAGATGTCCCATCGCTCCCCCTTTGCCCCCTGACTCCTTAATCCCCCTCACCCTCAGTGCTTTCTCCCTCCTCTGAGTTTATCACAGCCCTCACTGTCTACACCTCTCTTTTTAGTTTTATTTAGTTTTATTACCCCATAGAATTAGCTGGGTTTTTTTTATGTGGGCCTTTTCTGTCTCCATAATTTCCTTGAGGTCAGGAACCCCACCTGACACTTTCAGGATCCATTACAGGGCCAACTCAGTGCAGAGGAGACAGAAGCAGAGAATCATAGTATCTAAGAGCCAAGAGGGACTGTAGCACTCAAAAAGCAGTCTGGTACAGTGGTTAGCATCCCTTGGAATCAGGAACAGCTGGGTTTGAATCTTGCCTCTGACCCTCAGGGTACCCCTAGTGTCCCACAAGGTGGTGGTGAGGTTTAAGTGAGATAATATGTGTAAAGTGCTTTTTGACTGTGAAATGCATTCTATATTAATCAGTTAGGAGTTGAATGAGATAATAATGGTTAATATATTACTAAATATATATACATACACTAAATGTTACTTATTTAGTGAATTTAATAAAATTTTATACAAAATTTTAATAATATAATTTAATCTTGTATTTAATAATTTAATATTTACTAAATGCTTGTTTAGTTTAATAGCATAATAAAACATTTAGTAATATGTTAAATAGTATGTAATATATTGCTGATTATTATATAGTTCAACCTCCTGATTTTACAGATAAAGACACTGAGCCCGGAAAAGTGAAATGATTAGCCGGAGCAAGTTAGGAGCACAGTCAGAGCTGGAGCCTAGATCTCCTGACCTGTCATTCAGTTATTCAGTCAACAAGCAGTTATTAAGCCCGTACTAAGGGCTGGGGAGACAAAGAAAAGCAAATCCCACGGTTTCAGGGGTTTCACGCTGGCTACTCACCTGCAGGAATTCTTGAATCGGCGGAATTATGTTGGGGGTGGGGGGAAGAGTATTTAGGTAGGACCTGCAGGGAATTGGGTAGAGATGAGGGAATAACGGGGCAGGAGGAGACAGGATTTAGGAGGAAGCCATCGCTCACCGACGAGCACCGAGACCAGGAGTCCGCTGAGTCTTTGTTCCTTAACCTCTTGGACTTGAGCCCGATCGCCGGGGGCACTGGCCTTGCCCATGACAGTGAGGGCATTGGCGTGGGTCACGGTCCTCACAGTGGTGGCACTGAGCCAGGGCATCCCAAACAGGGCGCCCAGCCCGCCCATGCCCACGATCAGCAGCAGGTCCAAGTGGAAACCCGAACCTTTGATCACCTTCCGCTCGGGCTTGCTGATGATGAGCCTGGGAGGGGGATCAGGGAATGAATGAATGAGTGGAGGCAATGAACCTCTCCCTATAGCTCTCAACCTGCCTCCTTCCTCTTTCTCTGTCACTACTTTCCCTGTGCCCTTCTCCTGAGTCTCTGTCTTTGCATCTCTCTGCCCCTCTGATTTCCTTTCTGGGTCCTCTGCGTCCATTTTTCTGTCCTGTGTGTGTGTCTCTGTCTCTCTTTCGGTTATCTCTCTCTACTACTCTCTCCTAAATCGTATTGCAAGTCTCCCAGTCTCTGCCCTCTCCTTTTTTTTTTTTCTATTCCCTACACCAGGTCCCTACTCATTCCTTCTCTCTCTCACCCATGTTTCTCTCCCTATTTCCTAGACACCCTCTCTTTTTCCTTAGCTCTAACTCTTTAAAATCAAACAGAGTCAAGGCCTGAGAGATCACCTCTGATGGTCACAGTCCAATCCCTTCATTAAAAACAAAAGAAATTAATTTCATTTTTTCAATTAACAAAAATATTTTTTTCCCTCTCTTTCGCCTTCCTCACCCAGGGGAAAAAGAAAAAGAAAACCAAAATCCTGGTAACAGATATGCATAGTCAGATGAGACAAAGTCCTGCATTGGCCCTGTCCAAAAATATGTGTCTCAATCTTTCCCTTCAAGCCATCACCTCTCTGTGAAGAAGTGCCCGTGTCTCCATTTTACAGAGGGGAAAATTGAAGCATCATAGGACTAGAGGCCACTAGGTGGCACACTGGAGTCGAGAAGACCTCATTTGAGTCTAGTCTCATGCACTCATTACCTCTCTGCAGCGTGATTCTAGGCAAATCACTTAACCTCAGTTTCCTCTTCTGTAAAATGGGCATAATAATAGCACCTACCTCCTAGGTTATTGTGAGGATCAAATGAGATAATATGTGTGAAGGATTTTTGAAAGCCTTAAAATGCTGTAAAAATGTTAGCTATTATTGTTATTCTCATAGCTCCAAAGACGGAATGGACCTTACACTCTTAGGCCATCTAGTCCCTTTCTCCCTCATTTTACAGTTGAGGAAATGGAGGAGCAGGAAAGTTAAATGACCTATCCAAGAAAAATGTTTTGCCCAATGTCCTATAATAAGTTAGTGGCAGAGCTGTAAGACTAGGACCCAGGTTTCCTAATTCTTGTTCTAGGCTTCTTAAGACTCCATCGCTCTTCTGTTTTCTCTCACTTTTGCTCTGTCATTTGTCACCCTTTCTTCCTTCACTTCCCAACCCCTGTCCCAACCCTAACTCCTGACCCAACCCCTGCCCCTGCTTTTGCTCCTGGCCCTTGAGCCAGCCCCTGCTCCTAGACCTAGTTCATGGCTCCTGTCTCAGTCCCTTGCTCCACCCCTATCCTCTACCTCTAACTCCAGCTTCAGCCCCTAGCCCCTAGCCCTAGTTCATGGCTCCTGCCTCAGCTCCTAGCCCCAGCCCCTGCTCCTGCCCCTGCCCTAGCCCCTAGTCCTAGTTCATGGCTTCTGTATCAGTCCCTTGTCCCTGCCCCAGCCCCTGCCCCTGCCCCTGCCCCTAGCCCCTAGCCCCTGTCTCAACCCCAGCCCCCTGCCCCTGGCTCCTGCTCATACGTGGTAATCTGTGTCTCCAGGAAGATGAGGATGAAGACAAGCAGAGCTGGCACAGCAGAAGCAAACTTCATCCAGAGGGGGAAAATCTTGTACAAGCCCAGTGGGTGGATGAACCAGTCTCTGGCAGTTGCATTAGAGATTGCGAAGCCTTTGGGCACTTTGAGTTTCTGTGGGAAGAGGGAAAGAGGGAAATCATGACCGCTGAGATCGTGGAATTCAGCTCCTCTACAACTGAAAGGGGATAGGAAGTTGGCGTATTCTGAGGGGGAAGGGAAATCAGGCCTTAGGGATCCACAAAGCAGGTGGGAGTCCTGGGCAAAAAAGGCCCAGGGGCTACACTATTAGGGGTTTAAGAAGGAGACTGCAGGAGACATTGAGAGGACTGAGGTGTAGGGAGTGGGCAGGGGAGGTGCTGGGTCAAGAGAGGAAATCTAGCAAAAAGGGTGTGTATTGGGGGGATGGGACTGAGGAATCCTGGGGGAATTCTGGGGAGTTGGAAGAGGCAGTAGGGATGTAGTTTGTGGTGGGGTATCCAATGAAGTATCATACTCTAGTAGAATAAGGAGAGGTTTGATGAGGGACATCTGAAGAAAATAAAGTCTTGGGGGGCATTAGGGGGATGTTGGGAAAAAGGGCTCACCTGGGTATAGGTGTCTTTAATGAATATATCTATCACGACCATAAGGAAGATGGAAATGGGAACACCAAAGTCTCCAACTACTCTGCGTAGCTATGGCATTGGATGGATAGACAGATTGTCAGAATCCAGCCCCTCCAGGCCCAGAGACCCTATTCCCCCCCCTTTCATGTCTTTGTGGGGTCCTCTCTCTCTTTCTTTCTCTTTTCTTCTCTCCTCTCTCTCTCCCTCCCTCCCTGTCTCTCCCTCCCTGCCTCCCTCCCTGTCTCTCTCTCTCTCTCTCTCTCTCTCTCTCTCTCTCTCTCTCCCCCC